ATATTTTTAAAATTTAAAATATTTAAATTTATTAATTAAGGTTTTCACCTCTACCAACACTTAAAAAAAAAATTCTTTTTCCCTCAAATGGTAAACTGTTCCAAAAAAAAAAAAATACAACCTTTAGGTTTCCAGTCACACCCCGAACCTTCAAATAAAGTCACAACTCTTACGTGGCATGATCGGCACGGAAAAATAGCAGGAAAACCCATTCGCTGACACGGCCTGTTGACACGGTGAACCTGCCACGTCATCTCCCGATCCATTATCTCCACGTTACCACCGTACACAAATCCCCAACACTTCTAACACATCCATTGGACCATATACCTTTACCTCCTCAGATCCAACGGCCCTAATTTCCCGTTCTAGACCCTTCTAAATCCTAAGCGAGAAATGGGGGAAAAAAAAAACAAAAAAAGAAAAAAAGAGAAAATTTCGGAGTGGATTTATTAGAGTTAACCATGGTTGGTTGGTTTAACCCGAGCTGAGTTAAAGAACGTCTCTTCAAGTAACCTGGGCGGACAACCAGCAGTGGGTAAGCAGGAAAGAGGAAGAAGGAAAACCAGAGGGGGGTTTTTGTGTGTATTACTGAGTTAACTCGAAGAATACACGTTGTCTCCTTATATACCTTCGTGATTCTACTGAGGAACCGCCGGTGTTCTCTGACCAATAACCGCCGGCGATTGTATGAAGTAATTTAGCCGGCCGTTGTGGTTTCGTCAGCATCAGGTGGAAGATTTGTGCTCTGTTCAGATCTAGGAATCTGGTGAGTTGATTGTGTCAATCTTAGAGTTTGAGTTGGTTTTGCGTAGAGCTTGATAATGTTGTCCATCTGATCGATTGTTGAGTAATCTTTATGAATTCGTGAAGTTTCTGGTTTTTTATTTTTATTTTTTTTTCTTTGAGTTCCTCGACTCCGCATTTTTTAAAATTTGTTTTGCATGTAATGGAGCTCTAGAGATTCAATGTCTGAATTGCATTTTTGTTTTATTTATCATTTATTTGGCGCAAAATTTGTTTAATTTATGGAGAATCTTAAAGGATTCTTGCGTTTTTTTGGTTCTTTTAATCTCTGTAATTGAAGAATTCAGAATTTACTCTCGAGTCAGTTGCTAACAATGAGTTAATGATGCTTAAGGATGTTCATGGAGAGGCACCGTGTGTTCTACATTCCTTGAACACTGAAGAATGCATTAATTTTTAGTTTATTGCAGAATTTAGACACATTAATTTCACCCTCAAAGTTCTGTAACTGCTACCTAGCTTAGCTGGTCTTAACCTGTAAAAAGTACCACGCTTTTGGGATTTCTTTTGTATATAAGGATAGTGGTTTGTGCGTTGGTTATCACCTCGGTTCTGATTGATTCTTGGTTCCTTTACAGGTCCTATTTTCCTACGATTCCAGCTTCTAGAGATGGCTCGCACTATGTAGCGGATTCTCTTATTTGATCTCTAATTCTGCGTGAGTTGCGGTTCTTTAATTTGGTGGTGGGATCTGGTTTTGTGTCCACCACTCGACGATCATTTGTGAATCCTGTCTCTTAGGTGTTAAACAATTGTTGTTTTCCAACTTGAGGGTGGGATCTGGTTCTGTGTCTACCAATTGATGTTTGTTTGTGAATCATATCTTTTACACCTCAAACAATCGGCTTTGGAGATTGGCGTCATCTTGGGAGGGAAGAAGCTCTCTTCCACAGTCGCCTGTCTCCAGCCACATAAGCCGTTGTTTTTCCTCGCTAGTTAATGTCTGGTAAGTTGGACAGTCCTGTTCAAACCCAGATGGCAGTGGCAGTCTTTAAGAGCCCCCTCAGGGGTGAATACCATGGAAATAAGACAATGGAACCTAAACAGCCTGCTGGTAGGAGACGGGTTTTTGTGCAGACTGAGACCGGTTGTGTACTGGGGATGGAGTTGGATCGCGGCGACAATGCGCATACTGTGAAAAGAAGGCTGCAGCTTGCACTTAATTTCCCCACTGATGAAAGTTCATTGACTTTTGGAGATATGGTGTTGAAGAATGATCTTAGTGCTGTTCGGAATGATTTTCCACTTCTCCTAACAAGGAACTATTTGCATAGAAGTTCATCAACTCCATGTCTTTCACCTACCGGGCGAGATATCCAGCAAAGGGATAGGAGTGGTCCTATTGAAATACTGGGGCAGTCCAATAGCTTTGCTAGAATGGACGATATGGTAAAGGAAATTGTCAAGGCTATCAAGATGGGTGTTGATCCGCTTCCTGTTCATGGTGGTCTTGGAGGTGCATACTATTTTAGGAACAGCAAGGGTGAGAGTGTGGCAATTGTGAAGCCAACGGATGAAGAACCTTTTGCGCCTAACAATCCAAAGGGTTTTGTTGGAAAAGCTCTTGGGCAACCAGGTTTGAAACGTTCAGTTAGGGTGGGGGAGACAGGTTTTAGAGAAGTTGCAGCGTACCTCCTTGACCATGATAATTTCTCCAATGTTCCTGCGACAGCCTTGGTGAAAATCACGCACTCCATCTTCAATGTCAATTACGGGGTGAATGGGAATAAAACTCACAAGAAAAGTCTGGTCAGCAAGATTGCATCTTTCCAAGAGTTTATCACACACGACTTTGACGCAAGTGATCATGGAACCTCAAGTTATCCCGTGTCTGCTGTGCACCGTATAGGTATATTAGATATAAGAATATTTAACACGGACCGGCATGGAGGGAACCTTTTAGTGAGGAAGCTCAATGGCGTTGGGAGATTTGGTCAGGTAGAACTCATTCCAATTGATCATGGTCTCTGCTTGCCAGAAACTTTGGAAGATCCATACTTTGAATGGATTCATTGGCCTCAGGCATCTATTCCTTTCTCTGAGGATGAACTTGAGTATATAGAAAATCTTGATCCCTTTGAGGATTGTGAGAGGCTGAGAAAGGGGCTCCCCATGATACGAGAGGCCTGTCTCCGTGTCTTGTTTCTCTGCACCACCTTTCTCAAGGAATCTGCAGACAATGGTCTCTGCCTTGCTGAAATTGGTGAGATGATGAGTAGGGAATTTCGTGGTGGGGAGGAGGAACCTAGTGAGCTTGAGGTTGTTTGTATGGAAGCAAGGAGGTTGATAGCTGAGAAGGAAGTTGTATCTCCCAAGTCCGATATGGGAGATACAGAGTTTCAGTTTGAGATAGATTGTGAGGAACCAGAATTGGATTTTACTTCAAAAATGCCAAGTTATGAATATATGCCTAGATCGGCATTGCCATTTGGAAACGGGTTTATTAATGGTCGTAATCCTCTTTCAAAGCTGGAGGAGTGCTTTGAGGAGGATGAAGAGAGTGAAGGAGAGGTTGAGCATGTGGAAGTTCCAACTCTTCAAGCTCCTGAAAGCATCCCATCCATTTCAAAGCTTTCAGTGTCACTGAAAAATATCAGTTTAGGCGACAAGAGTCAAAAGTACCAAAACCTCCCTGGATCAAAAGAGGAATGTGGTTTTCTTTCTAGCTCATCTGGGCATAGGAGCGCAAATGAGCAGCTTCCTGCAAGTGCAAGCTTTGTTCAGCTGGCAGATATGACAGAGGAAGAGTGGATCCTGTTCTTGGAGAAGTTCCGAGAGTTGCTGGACCCGGCATTTGCTAAACGTAAATCCGTTACGTTAGGACGGAAGCAGAGACAGAGACAGAGACTTGGTACTTCATGCCAGTTTTGATGTTGAGGTACCGCCAGTATACGAGTATGAGAGACTACTGAGTTGAACAAGACTTTGTACGTATGTCGAAGCAAATGAATTATTAGAGTAGGTTGAGTTCGTGGGTTTTTCTTTGAGAATGTGTTGTAGTTGGCTTCGGTAAGAGTAACTAGTGTAAATATTCTTTGCAATTAGTTAACCTAAGGGGGAGGGCCGAGTGGAATTGGTTGTATTTTTTTTTTTCTCTTTTTTTTTTTTCCCGCTTTTTTAACTCTGCTTTGGTTTCCTCTTCTCTTTTAACTTTTACTTTGATGTGGACTTGTTTGATAAATAATTTGTAGAACGCAGTCATATAAAAAATGAAAAGAGAGAGAGGAAGAGAGTATCGTGTACATATTGACCTTTGGAGTTCTTAATTTTCTATGAATTTCCACTGTTATTTTTTTATCTGTGATTGATTTCATTGATTGTTTCATGTGATGGAATTCTTTGACTTCTTCGAAAATGGGTAACGGGATCTCAAATCTACCACCAGTTTAGATTAATATTCTAAAAATTATAACCACTCCCGGATTGGCCGATCAGTCTGTATTGTTTGTTTGTTTGTACTGAATTCTTCAGTGAATTCTCTGTTTTAAATAGCCAAAGTTGAGGTTCTTATATCAAGGGTACCTTTCCTTTTTATATTTCCTATTCCAAATTGTACAATTAGATGAGATGATGAATTAAAATAACAGTTTAAAAGTGTGTCTCTTTGGTTTTATATAATTATATAGTCTTTTTCATGTTCCTAAAGCACCTGGTTTCTGGTTGTCATCCACGGATTAATCGGTCAATCCACATTAGTCAAGTATTTTCTGCTGTTGCATTTGAAAGAGACAAGGTGTTGTCTCATTGGTTGCTCAAAATCAAATATCAACTCATTTCAGGCTTCATGAGCAGGAGATGACATGGAAAGAAAGAAGAAAGGCTATCAAGTGGGCAAACAAAATATTAAAGCGCATCCCATCCCATATTGGGGTCCCATCACCTTGTTAATAAGACTTGATCAATCTAATTTGATCTGCCTTTTTTTTTTTTTTTCCCTTAGTCTTCCAACAGGTTGTTGAGGCACATGGTTTTCTCAAAGTCGTAAAAAAAAAAAGAAAAAAAAAAAGAAGAGAAAAGGTTGGAGTTCTTTTGTTTTTTTTGCCTGAAATTAGACATAAAAAACCCACTAAAAAAGTTTCCAGATTTTTAGATTGTGGTTTATGGGTGCTGCCAGAGTAAGCCTTCTTCTGCAAAGGCGGGATATCGGTTTCTTAATGCAACCATTAAAGCACTTTATAACTTTAATGATTATCACTTTTTGAAAAAATTATTTTGAATCCTTAACCCCCAACTTATTCATGGCAAATGAAAAAAAAAAAAAGGGGAGTAATCTTATCGCTCCAATATAATTCCTCTTCCCTTAGTTATCATTAATTGAAATATCATTTTCGACTTACAAAAAAAAAAAAAATCAGAGTCAAGAAATGGTGTTGTGTTTATGTCAAGATGAAATGTCACATTCACGTGGATAAACGAAATTGTCTATGTGGAGCTGGATAGAATAAGGACTACTCCAGTAAAAGATAGATACCAAAGTTTGGTGGAGTTTCTTATCCAAATTTCAAGTCCTAGTAAGACTAAGATCAGACTCTAGACCCCATTATTTCATTTCTCTTGTCTGGTTTAGGCGCATGCATGTATATAATGCTTATCCTATGGCCACTTGTATTGTCTGGGTCCGCTAGGTAATTATTAACGTTGATTGTTGTTGAAGATAAAATGATGAGATGAAACAAGGGAAAAGAGGAAATGAGGCAGACAAAGGGATGTGGTGGGGGGAGTGAGGAGTCATGGCTTTGGGCTGCTTTGTCTCCGAAATTGATAATTACATTCAGTACAGAAGAAGTGAATGTATGACTGTGGGGAGACTTTATAGACATAAAACCCATGTGGAAAAGGCATAAAACGAAATTGCTATGAGGCCACTGAGTTCACTCCACTTTCCAAATGTTTGGTGGCATGCAAAACTCATGAGAAAAAGTAAAAATGGAGGATGCATTTTTCTCAATTAGAGTGAAAAAAGTCATTATATTCGCATTGCTCATTTCATAATAATAGTTGATAATAATAGTATAAATACAATGCATATATTATTATATATATATATATATAT